CGAGTGACACTGCCTTAAAAATTTATGCAATTAAAAAAAAAAATCTAAAAATTTTCGTTAAAATTTCGAGTTTTTTAATTAAATTCTGAGTATGCAGTTTTGTAGCCCATTAAATTCTAGTAGAATAAAGTACACGTTTCAAATGGCTAAAAATGTCGATTGATTTTTTAGAATTTTTATAAGTTCGAAATTTGTACGAAAGTTTGTTGAATTTCTTTTTTAATATTGCACAAATGAGCAGTCCACTTGCAAACAGCATTATGTGATTTTATAATAGTGATCCATAAATAAAAAAAAAAACTCTACAACAACAAGTAACATCCAAGTTGTAATTTCTATTTATTATCTGAAAATTTGGATAAACGAGAGCCTAATAACATTAAAAAACAATATGGCAATGTGGCAGTTTTTGCAAATTTTATATATAAAAATTGAATATAGCGAGTTTTGAAACAGTAACCTTTACATAGCTATCTTTTTTTTGCTTTCCGCGTTCGCTCTTCCATGAAAATTGGTCTGCTTCTTTTTTACGACGCCTTCCACTAAGCACCGAAACTACCACGTTTTCTTGCAGTTTTCTAAGTTCATCAGAAGATGGAGACTTTTGAAAGTGTTTAAATAAGTATTATAGCGACTTTTGCAATAGTATTTAACATTCGATGCTATTTTTTCAGAAAATAGAAAGGCTTTGCACTGTATTGTTAGTGGACATGAAACTACTTTAAATACTGGTACGTTACTCACCAAAAACTAAAAATCTAAAAAAAAATTTACATAGCGCCTTAGCAAGTGGACTGCTCAAATTTGGAAACATGAATTTCCACGGGGTTTGTTAAAGAGCGAACTATATTTTTATTTAAAAATATAACAAAAGTTCAATAACAACAAATATAAACGGTAAAACTTGGGAAAAAGTGGTATGGTTATAATTTTTTGACCACTGTATGTCAGAACCCCCACAACCCCTAAATACGGCCTTGGCTATAACACTACACACTGAAAAATCTGATTAAAAAGTGGACAATGTAGACTCAATTTTGCTGAATTTTTATAATTTTTGCACAAAGTTTGAAGAATGAATTTATATGGTTTTTGCTGGAAAAGAAGCTTTGCTTTTATAAAGAAATAAAGAATATTAGATAATTTAAAGAAAAAAAAATTTTGTTAAATTACTTGTCCCTATTTATTTCTCCACCACTGTATGTATAAATATGTACATAATTATTTACAGTAAGTATAAACACTTTCAAAGTCATGTTTGCAATTTGTATCATGATACAAAATAAAAGAAGTTTCCTTTCAAAATTTTTGAAAAAAAATAAGTTTTTGAAGTTTCATCAGCAGTAGTTTTGCGCAAACTCCTTTCCACATTGGTGGCCTTCGACCGTGTTAGAAAAAAAACCTCATCAGTCCAACTCCGATTACGCCATCCACAGTATTTTTGCGCAAAATCCATCTCCGAATTTACAAAAAAAAATCATATTTCAACTCAAAATCTTTTTTTTAGATTAAAGCTTAATCCTTTGGCTAGACGGATGCGCTAAAATTTTTGATTGAGGTAACGCGTTTGGACACGATAACCCGAAATTATTGTACAAATAACCGAACCGTACCCGAACAGTCTTTTACTTACGCATTTTTCTATCAAAAAATTTTATAAAATGAAACTGCAGTAGTTTTCATCTTATGTGTATATATTATTTAGTAGCGCCACATCTTTATCAGAAAATTCCGAGAATCCAAAAAGTGGTACCGTTACAAGCTGCAGGGCATCATTG